TTTTTTATCGCTATTTATCCTTTTAATCATCTGATACCAGGATCCAAAAGGGACCCAAAAGCTATTTATGTTTCTAGCCTACAAACCCAAGAGCAGTTAGATGTCCAGAGCACTCAGTAGAATAATAACAAACAAAAATAAATGTTGAGAAGCACTGCATGTGACCTGATTTGAAGGCATTTGAAGGAATCATATAGTTGATTGGATTTCAAAATTGGGCTTCAGCTAATAAAAAAACGTATAATCTAGAGTCTATGGCAAGATGCTATTTCATGGTCATTTGTGTGACAAAAAATTGTCTGGGATGGCATGGGTAAGATCCAGTCCAGAGAAATGGACCAGGCCAGCAGTTCTCAAACTGAGTTAATCATCAAAATCCTCTAGGCCCAGCCAGCATGGCTCAGTGGTTGAGCATTGACTGATGCACCAAGAGGTCACCAGTTTGATTCCCGGTCAGGGCACATGCCAGGGCTGTTGTGGGTCCAATCCCCAGCTGGGGGGGCGGGGGCAGGAGACAGCCAATCTGATGTTGATGTTTCTCTCTCATCAATGTTTCTCTCTCTCCCTCTCCCTTCCTCTCTCTCTCAAATCAATAAAAACATATTTTAAAAATCTCTGAGTATGCAGAGTCTCTGTCAGACCTCCAAAAGCCTAACCCAATACATCTGATGGGGTCCAGGACCCTGCAGGTTCCAAACTCCCCCAAAGTGATTCTAAAAGCAGCCAGATTGGATTTAGGGACCTCTTGAAGAGGTTTCTAAATTGTGTGGAGCAATTTACCAAGTACCGGGCACTAACCCATGATCCTTAAATCTCTCCCAAGATCCTTAACCAAGATGTTTCCCAAGCATTGTTTGAAGCTGCCTTTGCTATAATATCTAAGAGAAGGTTTTTAGATATGGCATTTGTTTTCCTCCCAGCAAATGCTCTACATCATTACTACCAATTAAGCTAGTTCATTTAAGAGCTTTGCATCCATACTTGTAAAACCCTCCTTTGCTCATCCAACTTTATGTCTAAACAGTGCAGCGAATGGCTGTACAGTTCCATTTGTGAATTCCACTCTTGTGAATGTATTTCCAAAATTGTTTCAGAATTTCTTTGTCTGGGAAAGCCAGCACTGCTGGTTTTAATAAGAACATGGTTTAAACAGCTATCCAGGTCACTGAGATTTCATGACTTCCCAGAACACAGGCAGCACACAGCACCCAGAGTACCTTCTCTTTTTTAATTTTTATTGAATTTATTAGGGTGATCAATGAAATTATATAGGTTTCAAGTATACAATTCTATTACACATCATCTGTATATTGTATTGTGTGTTCACCACCCAAGTCAAGTCTCCTTCCATCACCATTTATGCTCCCTATACTCTCTTCTACCTCCCTCTACCCCTCCCTCCTTTCCCTCTAGTAATCACCATGTTGTCTGTATCTAAGAGGGTTTTTGTGTGTGTGTGTTTATGTGTGCTTAATCCCTTCATGTACCTTCTCTTTTTAAAACAAAGACTGCCCACGCACAACTCCACCCTTTCCTCTTACAAAGACTCTGTCTTACTCCCTTCTCCCAAAGTTTTCTTTAGAAAGTGTAACCTGGTTTAAAAGAATGAAAACTAAGGTTAGACCAAGTGAAAAGCAAATCCTGTCCTCAGGTTAAAACTCATCAACATCACAAAGTAATTCACAACAGTGGCTAGCACCCAGTAGGTGCTCAATCACTAGCTGAGTAAATGCAAACTATTTGATAGAAGTCTGGCACCTCCGTTTATGAAAACCCAAACAAGAATTCTCAGACATTCCATAGCGTTCACATTTGAAAACATGATCTATTACGTAATCAACAAAGTAAAAAAGAATTTTATTTTTAGCTACTGAACTTCACAGGGAAGATCCCAGTCTTATTTAAACTTTGCTTTCATCCCTAACCTTCAAATGACACTCACATGATTTACTTTTTAAATTTGTATTTTTTTAGGAAAAGACTCAAAGATGGCCTTGAACATATTTAAAACAATACAAAGCAACAACAAAAAAAGCAGATGGTAAAAAATCATAAATCAGGACAAGCATGCTGAACAAGCTACAAAGGAAGGCATCGTCAAACTGTAAAAGAGAAGAGGCACTTCGTTCCTCATGGCTAAGTCTCCGTTATTGCTTCCTTGCAAAAGAAAGCTCAGAGTGATCTAGGGGAGGGTATCATCGTCCTTCCTTAAACTTTCACAATCTAGACTGGAAAGAGCTGCATGATAATTGGAACCTCCACAGGGTCAGTACTCAGAGCAGGTGGGTGGTATGTTGCTTCTCATGTGATAGAAAAATAATGGTTTGGAAGAATTTGTTATTTTATTTTATTTTTCAATTACAGTTGACATTCAATATTATTTTGTGTTAGTTTCAAGTGTACAGCATAGTTGTTAGATAATCAGATACTTTATTATTATTATTTTTTGTATTTCAAGCTTTTATTGAGTAATGTTAACTAATCAAGAGACTAAATTCTGTCTTCATCTTTTTGTATTTTTTTTCAGTTTATGTAAATTTTTAAAAATTTATCTTTATTGTTGAAAATATTACAGATGTTCCCTTTTTTCCCCATTGATCCCTTCCACCCCTCACACACTCCCTGCCCCAGGCCTTCACCACACTATTGTCTGTGTCCACGGGTTATGCATGCTTGCATATAAATTTTTTGGTTAATCTCTCCCCACCCACCCACCAACCCCCACCTTCCCTCTGAGATTTGTCAGTCTCTTCCATGCTTCTATGTCACTGAATCTATTTTGTTCATCAGTCTATTCTTTAGATTCAATATATAAGAGAGATCACGTGATATTTGTCTTTCGCTGCCTGGCTTATTTCACTTAGCATAATATTCTCCAGGTCCATCCAT